TTTTGTGTTTATAATGTTTTTGTGTCTATATAATGTTTTAAAAGCAGTTATGTTTTGAAAAAGATCTATGTAATAAAAAGGTGGTAATATAATAAAATTAGAAAATATTTTCTGAGAATTGGCATGTTTAAATAGCACCGACAGATATATAAAAAAAAAACCCTCATCGCATATCCAATATCAATATACTCAACACATTTATTATTATAAAACCAAAAAAAGCTATTCTTCTTCTTCCTCCTCTTCCTATTCTTCTTTTACTACTTCTTCTTGACTCTCATTTTGTACCTGAAAATAATAGTACTATTTTACTAGGCCTACATGGCTAAAAAAAGCACAAATATTGTCTTTACTACTGACAGGGCCATCGTTAAATTAAGTCAGAGCCCAAAATATAGCATCATATTCAATACGTTATCTGACATCATGAGAACCTAAACTTTAATACAATTATTTGTTATTTACTTGGCCTAATTCGAAATTATTATTTTAAGACTTTAACATATAATAGGCTACATACTGATTAATAATAGCTGAGATTTGATGCACATTTTAGAATTAATAATCGTTTTTATTATATCTTCCTGAATATTTATTGCCTGCCAAATGAAATATGAATTAGGCCTATATGCATCTTTAGAAATACAATTTCTACAATATTAATCTTGTTTTTATATAGATAAATGTTCGATAAATTTTATCTTTCATAAAAAAAAAACAATATTCAGTTCGTCTATTTTCATTCTAATCAATGGCGTTTGTAAACGTGCACTGACGTCATCGTCGAATTCCAGGACTTTCGACGGTAAAGCTGGCCTGCCTTCCCCGGTCCCAGGCCAACCAATAATAATTAACAAAATGTTTTTTTTTTTTGTACATGCACTTCAACTTTTACAACAAAAGCCTAGGCCTAATACCTGTAGTACGTCCTCCTGTACTTAGGCCTACACTACTTTGTTGTCGTCGGGGTATAATTCTGTCTCTTAATGAACGAGGAGTCAACATCTAGGCTAGGCTAATTGATTTTGAAATCAATAACCCACCTTAAAGGATTATCAGTTATTCTATGATGTTTCATGATACTTTATCACTAAAAATTAACAAACACTCGTTTTGACGCACTCCGTTCTGTAGTGTCTGCTGTTGAAAACAAACTTCCTGGCCTAATTTTGTGACTGGCTATGATGACTGAGGTGGACCATGTTGATTTATTAATAATGTTCTGTTTGGGATGGAAAAAAGGAGAGTCAATTTCCCCCAAATGCTCCAACAGCACATAGTTTACTGTGCGCTATTGGCAGTATGCCTATGGAATTTACTAACCACACAATCCACAATCAGGTGATTAAATCGCAAAACTTTATCTGCCTTTGGTAAAGTCGCAAAACTTTAGCTTCGTTTGGTGGCACCATTTACTCTAGGTAGACGGCGACCAGTTTAACGGTTGGTACATTTCTTACAAACATTCAGCCAAAGGCCAGTGAAAGTTGAGACGGCAGCCGGGTTTTTATCGATGTTGCGTTCAATTTAATTCTCCGAACTTCTGGTGGGCCTGCATTTTGTTTCCAACGCGATGCGCGTTCTGTGTCTAACGTGATAAAGATTCCACTACTTTATATCCAATTTCATATTATAAATACTGTAATAATTTACTATTTTTAAGCAGTTCTTTAATCCTCGCCGATAGACCGAGAGAGCCCCTCGATGGCAAGCATTCTTCAATTAGGCAATCCTTAAGTAGCTCCTGTTATTTTTGCAAATAAATGATAAATGTGAAAACAAGCAAAAATTAATTAAATATGTATATCAAAATGTAATTAAAATCCGTATAGGGTATATAGATTGTTGCTCTTTAAATTTGAATATGAGAGCGAGCCATATACAAATCTTATGTTATTAATTTGATTATTATTATTTATAAATATTAAAATAGTGTAGGTCAGTCGACCGCAATATATAAACTGTGCTTTGCTCTAAATGATATAAATTGTAAATGTTAAATGATATACAGGATCTGTGACAATATTCAACTTGTGTAATTATGTAACGTACATTTTATTGTATCAGCATTCAATTACGTACGCTTTGAGCGAGCGTACGTACGTTTCGCGAGCAATGTTTTGAAACACGTTTACTCGGTTCATTACTATGCAAATTCTCGCGGCTAGTCTGAACGCCAGGCAAGGTTAAGCCGGGCTTAACTCAAGCCTGGCTTATCTATCTTAATCTTCAAGTCTGTGTCGAGCGTGAACTACTCTACAGCTGTTTCATGCAGTACGGTAGCAATCTTCAGGAGTGAACAGATCGCTGCTGCAGCAGCTGCTGCAATCTCTGCCTTACAGAGAAATTTCACATAATTTATTCAAACAAACCATCTTTAAACAAAACTTTATTTCAAAATAAATCCATATATTATTATTATTATTATTATTATTATTATTATTATTATTATTATTATTATTATTATTATTATTATTATTAATGTTATTATTATTATTATTATTATTATTATAAGTATATATTTATATATAATATATATATATATGTGTGTATGTATATATACGGTATACACACATATATATTGACATATATATGTGTGTCTATAAATATATGTGTCTATATGTTTGTATATATATACAAACATACATATATACACATATATATTTATAAATAATAATAATACTTATATGCTTATACTTATATAATAATAATAATAATAATAACAATAATAATAATAATAGTAATAATAATAATAATAATAATAATAATAATAATAATAATAATAGTAATAATACACACGCAACATATGGATTTATTTTGAAATAAAGTCAATAAAGTTAATTAAATAGCGGATGAATGCACATAGAGTCAAATATGTAGAATATATAAGTGACAATGTTGAATTGCACCAGTCAATAACATTTTGAAATTAAGTGTTAATAACGGACAAATCAATAGTATCTTGAAAGGAATGAAACAAGTTAGTATCATCGGCAAACATTCTAAAGTTGAAATAATTTGTAGAGTTTGGAAGATTATTGATATAAATTTAAAATAAAATTGGGCCAAGGACTGAGCTTTGAGGCACACCACAAGTAATAGGTAAATTATTAGAAGTAAAAGAACAAAATGAAACAAATGGTTTTCGATTTACTAAGATAGTCATAGATCCAAAATAATGCATTTCCTCTATTACACCATAATGAGATAATTTAGAACGTAATATTTCATGAACAATTGTGTCAAATGCTTTACGAAAATCAATAATAGAGGGCATATCATGGTCTGGTCAAATTGAAGGCTATTAACTACGGTAAATGTTAAGGGATAACTTAATACTGTATGTTTCTATAAAACCATATTGACGATTATAAAACAAGTTAATTTTTTTCAAAGTAATTGACTAAAGTTTATTATACAATATTAATGGCATAGATATATAAGTTGCAGCTATAGAAAATTATTTTGATGAAATTTTGTCGAAACCAGTGGCTTTTTTTATGTCTAAGCATGGAATTATTTTCAGAACTTCTTTTGAGTGGCATAAACCTAAACTGTAACTCAGGCTGCATCGCATTCTACCAGTGGCGCCTCTGCGGACGCACGCTCCTCCAATGAAGCTTCCCCAGGCGTCCCCCAATTTTCTAGACACAAAAATGAAGAATATATTTATCCCCTCTTATATCCTTATTTTTTTCAGCTAGCCCGACCTTACCCCTTACTCAATCATAATGTCGTAAAAAATTATTCATTTGAGCTCTGTTACTCGTTGACTCGAGGCCGTGTTGTTTCGAATGTTTAATGGTGCCGCTGTCTGCAAATTATGCTAGATCCTATCTATTTTAGGGGTTCCAAATGATCAACTTCAGTAGAATGTTCTCATCCTCATTAAATATGTTTCAAAATAAAATTAAAAACAGAAAGTTGGGGCAATATTTGTACTATTTTACACATCAGCTGCAGTTAAGCCAGTTAATAGATGTAGGCCTATATATTTTTTAAATAAAAATATTCAGTTATTTACATAGCGCCTTTCTTTGCAGATACGAAGCGCTTTTGACCCTGTCGTCAAAAGCTTAGTGTTGATGCTGTAATGAGCGCAGGAGCAGGCAACCCCACAAGGTACCTATTTAGGCCTATTACACTCGGGTGGAGAGAAGCAATGCATTGTAGATAAAGTGCCTTGCTCAGGGAAACAAGCGAAATGCACAGCAAGGGATTGAAACCCTGAGCTCAATGTTTGGAAACCAAACCGTCCTGCTGCGCCAAACCACTTCTATGTTAATGTCAATAAACACATTGATACTTACCATCACATTCGCCACCAGTCCATTCATCACTACCACTGACTGGCACTTTTCCATCATCACGGCATCGACCTACAACGTACGCAATGCACACTGTAATCAGGAGCTGAATAAAATGAAATAAAGACGACCAATATATTATTTCAAAATTATCTCGTGTATGATTAGGTTCAAAATTTGTCACTAGATAATCTTAACTTGCATTTTTTTTTAACTAGCACAACCGAATTTTATATTAAAATTAAAGAATTCAAAATATTCGTTTTCATATTGAAAAGAAAAAAAAAAGGAAATTCTCACCAACAATAATATTCTTTTGTAGAACATTCTAAAATACAATCTATCAACAAAGTCAAGTCACCACGTCAAGACCACTATGTAGTCTTGAGAAATACAATCATTATATTTCAGAACGAACAAAGTTTCAACATATGCATTTCTAATCGATAATAATTCATCCATGTATTGATTCTTCTAAATTGTGTTAGTTCGATCTGCATCAAGGAGACGATATCGATATTTCAATTCAAATTCATTTGCTCTCTATCAATACTAGTTTTTGCACTTGTTATCGATTATTGATTTTTCTGCATAGAAATAAATAGGCGTAATAATTCCTCCATGGTCTGACGATCTGTCTCTTATACACATCTAGAGGAGTTGCGTTAGGCGAGCACTACTGATTTTTCACATTAAAGGTTGTCCTACCATTATTTAAGTCAAACCTTATTTCTTATCATAAGTATGATACAGAAACATTTATGCATATTTTATGAAAGCAGTTTTAAATGCATGGAAAACAAGTTTCACCTAGTATTATCAATTATCAATCAGCTTCTATAACAAAACTTGGCCTAGGTCTACATTCAAAGACCGCAAACTAGACGCACTTTAAAATAATCATAAAATTAACCTGTTATTATTTTGATAAATTTCTGATTGTTAATTTGATTGCACAACAATTTTCGCTCATTTTTTATAATCTTTTCTTTTTATAGACCGAATCGGCGGCTCGGGTCACGTGAGCAATTATAAGTCAATCGTGACGTCATCACTGCAACTCCCAATGTTATTTGCCTATCCCCACAGTCCACTAATTTTCCAATAGACTGAATCGGCGACTCCAGCTATTACCTGGTCACGTGACATATAGTTGTAGGTCCATAAAATATAAACATACACATCGTAGTAATCCACAGTGCGCTCATTGAACACAGTAGGCCTATATCGAGAGAGTTATTGTGTTTTTTTTTAAACAGCGACCCAAAGTAAAGTAATGCTAATATTATTAACAATGTAACTGCCCGTATCACAAGAATTTCAGCTTTCTCTTTATAGCGGCCTAGTACGTATACAGTTCAAAGCGAATTCGATGCTCTCCAGGCTCCTAAACGGGAAGAAGGATGAAGGAGGAGCGAATAGCATGCACAAGCAATAATGCCTGTACTCAAAAGCAAATTTACTCCAGGCTTCGGAATCTTTTTTTGTGCTCGTCTATTATGTTTTAAGGTTGTTTTTCTTTCTTTCTTTTCTTTTTTTTAAATAATTATTTTAAGGCCAATGTGAAGGCCTATTTTTGCCTCTGCTTGGACAATGAACTCTCCACAGCAGGTGCATTAGTGACCGTAATTGTTTAAACAATCAAATTGGATTCATTAATCACATGTATTTTCCATTACCGTAGCCCGTCTCTGGTGAGGCTAAATGATTTAATAAGCATCATATTATTAGACCATCACCACTGAACAACTTTCATTGTTGTTTTTATTATTATTATTATTATTATTATTATTATTATTATTATTATTATTATTATTATTATTATTATTATTATTATTATTATTATTATTATTATTATTATTATTATTATTATTATCATTATTATTATTATTAAAGATTCATTATCAATCTGCAGCACTGTAGGTAAACGTTTTCAAATTGTTATACAAAAAAGACAGTATTTTGTTCTTCATGTTTAGTCAGTGTTCTGAAATAGTGGATTACTGATTCTACTTCATAGTTTAATAATAATAAAAATAATAAAATATTTATAATGCGCTAATTTCAAGGAAATGATCAAAAGCGCAGAGAGTACAACTAGAGAAAGATTTTAAAATTTGGAAATGCGAAGTGGGGATGGACTAAAAAGAGTTAATGAGATGGGACTTCAGTTTTAACTTAAATACATCATAGAGGGAGACAGTTTGATAGAGAGTGGCAATTCGTTCCACGGCGCTGAAGCAGCAAAGGCGAAAGTTCTTTTTCCGTATGTTTTTGTTTTAATTTGGGGTGACGAGAAGATTTTTGTTGTCAGAGGGGACTCGTCGGTTAGGGACATACAATTTCAGAAGTTGAAAGAGATGGGAGGGTTGTTTAGATTGAAGAACCTTAAAACAAATGATAAGAATCTTAAAACTGATGCCTTCGGAGAGGCAGCCAATGTAGATTTCGAATGATCGGTGTAATATGTAAACGTCTCTTGGTAAGAGAGCACACTCGGGCAGCAGAATTTTGAATTTTCTGTAACCGGTTGATAGAAAAAGATGGTAAGCCAACTAATAGAGAATTACAGTAATCAAGTTTTGAAGAAATGAAGGCATGGACAAGTGTTTCAGAGATTTAGAATTTAAATATTTACAAATCTTTTTAAGGTTACGCAAGTAATAATGGGCAGATTGACAAATTTTATTGATATGCAGATTTAATGAGAAAAACTGATCCATAACAAAAACCAAGATTCCTAACCGATGAGGATGGTTTAATTTTATTTGAGCCGAGAATCAAAGAAGGGAAGATTGGTATTGGGGTAAAAAATCGCGATAAAAAATAAATAAATTCAGTTTTGGAAGGATTTAATTTAAGCATGTTATGAGAGAGCCAAGATTCAATGTCAGATATGCAACTTTGAATTTTGTTTATTATACTTTGTGTGTCATAAAATGGATTAAATGGTAGATAAAGCTGTCGTCGGCGTACATTGAATGTACAAATTATGGGAACGAATGATCTTAGCAACGGGGGAAATATATAACGGAAAAAGTAGAGGACCAAGAACAGAACCTTGTGGAACACTAAGCTTTTAGGAGAGGAAACAGAGCCGAGAACGTTTACGTTTATTGATTTTTGGTTTCCGTTTGTATGAACCCGTGGTCTTAATCTTGCTTCAAGTCCAAAAGGGAGTATGCGACTGGTTGATTTCGTTGACTACGACTTTTCGTTGCTTTATTATTTTCATTCGACTGGTTCGTAAAATAGACTTCGTTGACAAGAAAATTAACGTAAATCAGAGTGCGTTAATCAGCGTTAAGTTATTCATGTGACCAAAACAAACATGGCCGATTGGTGAGTTTAGAAACAGCATTCGCGTTAATATGATTTAGATTAAATTAAAAAAAAAAAATTTAATATTTACCCACATGAAGTCAAAAAATAATTGTAGGCCAACAGAATTCAAAAACTGGATGAATTTTTTTTTTTTTTTTTTTTCACAAAGCTGAATCTTGATTACCCAGCGTGTATCGCGGTAACTATGCAGCAATTTTGTTTTGTCGAGTATTTACAAGTTTTCTATTCGACTGGTCGTCTTCGTTAAGTAGGATTTTACCTCTGCGCAGGTGGGAGTGATTTAAAAAAAGAACGACCAGTCGAATACGGCCATTTTATGTGACTGGCGTCACCAACGTTTAAACTAGATCATGGCCTCAACCCTTCCATAGAATTTTTTTTTTTAAATAATTTTGTGTTAATCTTTCTTTTATTACTTAATGATAAAAAATATTATGCAAATACTGATATGTGTATGTGTGTGATTTTTGACAGCCATTAACTTTGTAAAATTAGCTTTATGTTTAAATTATCATCCTTCGGAGTAAATTACAATAGGCCTAAAAACTGTACTAGGCTGGCCCTCCATTATTTTAGAATTATGCTTTCCCTACTTTCGGGGCGTATTTATAACGTTACCGGGAATTTGAATCTATTTTTAGATCTAATTTGCGACTCCGCTAACTAATTTCTACATTGGATCATGTTGCAGTTACAATAGCATTTGCTACAACAAACACTTTTGTACTTTGGACTTCGTAATTGCTTTAATGTAGGTAGGCCTATACCACGTAGCTATCAGAAAAGAACGAGCCTATTAAGAACAGTGGACAAACACGTAAGTTAGCGGTTTTTGCCCAGTTAGCATGCTAGAGGCGTACTCAGTTTAAAACTGTTAAGTTGAACGATGATTATTGGCTTGGCTAGCTTATGGAGAAATGTAGACCACTATTAGACTGGTTAATAATTATACAGGTATCTCTAAACCTCCAAAGCCAATGCGCTTTGAATTCCGCTATGGGCTTAGCCACGGCGCGACGAAGCTTAGTTTATTATTAACGTCAATCATTATTGTCTTCGTCTTTTGTAATTCAATGTAATGATGACCGATAAACTGCACACAAGAGTGCATTTGTAAAGGTTATCCATAAGCGATGATTATGCTAGATCTGTTTAATATTCAACCTGGTAGTAAATAACATAACATCAT